AAACCTTCGACTCCGACTCCGTCAAATTTTATGCTTCCGACTCCGACTCCTTGGCCTGGTTGTAACAACTATTTCTACATCTCATTGTAATTTTATGTTGCTTAACCTGCATAGGTAAAATGTAAAACACCGTGTGGCTATACCTACAACTTTATTAATGATCTGGACGATATTTAGAACTACAAAAGATGATGACTTGACTTTCAAAGATTTCAATCAAAAGAAAAATAAATTTATTAAGAATTAAGATATTAACTAGAAAACTACTAAATTTACCAGCATATCTAAAAGTTCGATCTCCAGCATATGAATTTTGTTTTAAGCTCCTGCCATCTGATGTGGATCTAAATGATCCCTAATTCCTTTTAAGTAAGTTATATCTTATGTACATTAAAGAAATAGACTACTTATTAGGGAAAAATGAGATAAACATATGATAAATTTATACAAAATTAAAATTTTGCTTATTCTTGAAAACCGGGTTTGGCTTCATTACGGTGCTGTGGCTGGGGAGCATATGCAGTTTTTCAACGAAACAAAATGATATAATTCAAAAATTTCAAATGGTAAGAAAGACTATCGTCCAAAATTATAGTGCTATACTGTGCCTGCTACAATAAATTCATAATAATGCTTATAAAGCAAATAAAATTAACACTAATAATTTAGAAAATTAGTGGGATCAGTGGAATCACTGCAATGAAAATATGCCTGAGTTCGCCTATTTGTTACAACCTGGAACAGAATAGCTTTCAGTCGGAGTCTGGACAATTAAACTATTGTCTCTGGTAAGGGACTGACAGAGTAGGTTTACATAATAAGGCTAGCAAGGGTTCAGCCTAAGATTTTAGATAGAAAAAAAATAAGCGAGTTTATTTTCCTGAAACAGTCTCGAACGTAAAAGTAAGACAGGTTACTGGTTAGTCAGCTATTTTGGTTGGATATTGAAATTCCGTAACGAAAGACCGACATTAGATAAATTCTCAGTTTGTAAGCGCTGGTGTCGTTCTACTTGGGGTAGTTAACTTATTCAGTTTAGGTTATATACGGGTTTTTGAGTGTTCATGGTCTTGGATCATTAAATAAGTACGTGTGGTAGCTGT